CTGATTTCTGGTCTTGGTTCAGCTGGTCAAAATGTCAACAAGCCTCAAAGATGCCACCACACTAACCATCGGCCACTTGGCATCCGCCCGCAATACCGTGGTCCTGAGTGCACACTGAGTACGCTGGTTCCACCGATGGCATTTCTTATCTGGTCGTGGTCGACGGCTATCGCAAATGGCCAGAAGTGGTGGCTGTCAACCCACCAACCGCATCCGCCACTCTGGGTTGTCTAGAACACATCTTCAGACAACGTGGCTTTCCCGGGGTTTTGGCGTCTAATTTCGGTTCCCAGTTTACGTCTTCCATCTTCGAAGACTTTTTACGCCGATACGGCATCCAACGCCTCCGCTCAGCGCCTTGCCATCCCCAGTCCAATGGTCAAGCGGAGAGATTTGTCGACACCTTCAAGTGGGCGCGCTTGAAATCTCGCGGGGACGCGACCATGGATGTGTCCTGCTCTCGTACCGATCCACACCGAATACAACTACGTCAAGATGCCAGTCACCAGCTGAAGCATTAACGGGCCGCAAGCTACGCACCCACAACGAAGCGCTCATTCCAACTGATAAACTAACTAGTCACACTATTGCCTGCACCAAGCATAAAGAATTCGTTGTTTGGGCTCGAATCTACGCTCGCGATTTCCGAGCAGGTCATCCACGCTGGATTAAAGCAACAGTGACGGCCAGGCGAGGTGAGATGTTGCATGATGTCACCTTGGATGATGACACGTTGGTTCGCCATCGCAATCAACTTCCAACGCACCATGGAGAACTCTGCACCCCAGCTAGCCTTCATGTGCGCCTGCCGTTGCACATCCTGTTGGATAACTTTGGATTGTCTAGACAACGAGAGACCACAGTGGAAGCCGCTCAGTCGTCGCCTCGTCTGGTGAACCCGCCTGGCCGACGAACAGGAAGCATCCGGAAGACGCCGAAATCCCTCCAATTCAACCCTCCTCAGAAGCGGTACGCTTTCTCTTCAAACGAAGTTGTTGCGGGCCCGTCAACTATCCCGCAAAAACGCGACACAAACTCCGGCGTAATGGTTATGGAAAGCGGAGTTCAATTCCTCCCCCTAACGTAGCAGATTTCAGCCAATCCGAGACGCGGCATAACTGAGCAAACGTTGAAAATGTTATTGTACAAACTACCACCCCGTCGTGGTAGCTATTTTCACTAATTTAATGACCCGGAGAGTTGGCTGTGATACACCTTTTGTTGATCGTAAAAGAGCTTTCAGAGGACCACTTGTCTTGTTTTCTCTTCGCTGGTAGTTGGGAATCGCTTCCGTCACGTGATTTTTGGTGTGCTGACAGCCGGGCAGCGTTCTCGTCTAAGCCACTAGCGCGCGTCTATCGTCACAACCACTAGCGTGAGTAGCCTTGTCCGTTACGAGGGCTCAGCATCTACCCGAATACGTGGGGCTAGTAAATTTCGCACTTTAATGCGAATTTCCGCCTCACCAGCGAGTACCCCGGGCTAAGCAATTGTCATCACGTCAGTGCAAATAGGCTCGATCGGCCAGCATTCCAAGCCGTTATCTTAACCGTGCTCAAACCGTGCGCATGACAATGGTATCAGGCTCAAATTGTTATCACAGGCATCTCTCAATCTTGACAGGTCACTAATTTTCGTTTTAGAAATAGATGGCGATCCCGGTCAAGATAGTTTCACCGGTCGGGTAATTCTGCGGCTGGAATGGATAATTCGATTACCAAATGATCGAAGGTGCTCGACAATCCAAGTAAGACAAATCAAGTAATTCTCTAGCGTCAATTGATTAGGTCTAACTTCTTTAGACAATTAATAAATTCTTTGTACACGATTACTCTCGACGAAATCCGTGTTTCTCGAAGCAATATTGTTACGCTTTTCGAGATAACACTCCAATGCTTCGTCAGCCATGGATTCCATGACCTTGGATAATACAGGGTGCGAAAACAATGAGCGCTAGTTTTCGGGCTGTCTTGCTTCTGCCTTTATGAATCGGAGTAAATATTCCAAGCTTCCACATCACAGAAACCTGGTTTTGATCTAAGCATCTCTGAAAGAACCGAGCCAAATGTTTTGTCAGATGTCATAATGCTGCTCCCCGTGTTTGGCCGAATGATGTCGACTCCCGGGGCGCTGTGGTTGCGCAGAGACGTCAGCCCCCGCAAACAAGATTCGGCAGTAAAAGTGCTGATGGTAAGTCCTGGAGACGGAATAACAAAAGTTTGAAATAGTGTGATGGTAAGACCCTATAAAATGTGGGAGCATATCGCGTCCGCTGCTTCTGTAGCTGTTCTAGTTGGACCATGGGTCGTCCGGAGTGAAGGAATTCCTTTCCTCAACTTACGACGGCCATTGACATACTTATACAACTGTTTGTGGTTTGTGCTGAAAGTTTGCGTCATATTCTGCTGATATGCGACTTTGTCATCTATGAGCAGTTGAGTGTTTTTGTTAGGAGGGTTCCGTAGTTTTCCCAATTAGCTGGTGTTGTTGATGATCTGTACTCTCGCCAGGCTGCGTTCCGTACATTCATCCATTTTTAGTTCTGCTCCTCAAGGAAAAGCGGTTTTGGGACCATGGTAAACTCTTGTCTCTAAAGTATCCGTAACCATTTGATTGAATTTGCTGACTAATTCACGTCAAGCGACTTCCGTGTGGCCTTCAGCAAGGAACGACCAGGTTGTGGCACTGACGAGCTGGCCTAAGCGGTAGTTGCGCGTATTGGCACGCACCATCTCATGGTTCTGGTGGGGATATTCTGCATAGCTGGTAAAGTTGAAACTGATGGCTGCATGTTCACTGAGATCCAAAGTGCAGCCTACAAGGGATTCATCAATAAGGTGTTCTTCGTTGGTGAACACAAGATCCAGCAAAATGGTCTATTACCTGTTCTGCAACGAGTGGATATAATGACATGATTTTAAAGTGGAGCACTGGTTATGAGCTCGTATAGATCTGCTTTCAATTGTTCTCCGATTGTAGCAGAGGTACCCAAGCAATGTAACTTGCAATCACCTGTGATAAGGAGCTGAGCCTGCTTTCACTTCAGACTGCTTCTTAAAGCTGTCGCAAGTTGTAAGTCCATTTCCGGTGTAGAGTTTGGGGACGGTACACCTTGAGAAGTGGTCTTATGTTGCCCCTCCATGTGAGCAAAATGATTACTACAGTTGGGGGATCCTCGATCGACGCTATTTGTCGCTGGTATTTATCGCCACCCTGCTTTCGGATTCCAATTTCCATAGGGGCATGTGTAATACCCTACTGTGCTCTAGTGATCTTCCCTGGATTTTTAATTAAGAATCGCCAAGTGACTGGTAGCTTATTAATGAGTCAGCTGTCCCGGTGTAGCGGCATTTCCATGCTAAAACTTGTTAAACTCATTGTAGCCAGTTCAGTTCATTTCTTCAGCAAACTTGCTTCTAAGTATTACTCAATGATATTAGTCACCCCTTTATGTCCCTACACACAGGTCTATGATAAGTAAACTGTATGTTATTTGTCACATTTTAGCTGCTCAAAATCTGATTGATTTCAGAAGATTTAGAATACAAAGCGGTTGTTGTAGGCTGTTCTTGTGATCACTTTTCGTTCGTGACGCAAGCGTTTCTTCAGGCCAGATGAGTCAGTGCACAATTAGCTTAGCTTTTATGACAAATTAAGGATGGGAACTGTGGAAAATGACGAGTCCTTGGACAGTAACATTGCACATCAATGGATTATAATGTCATGCCATTGTAATACCAAGCATGGAAGTTTTCCGAATGATGCACGTCACAGGTAGTACTGAGGTAACAAATTCCTGTTCCTAGTGTAGCTGATTCGCTCTCGAACAGGAGTTCTTCTACCGACGCTTTTGAACCTGACGGGTTAAGAAAGTCCGCCACGTATTTGATAGCTTCACCCCATCCGTTCTGTTCATCCCGTTATCGGTATTAGTAATTACAACCACCTCAGAAATTGACCTGTTGCTGGTAATCCACTCCTAGGCTATTTCGTATGCAGCTTCTTCAAAGAGGAAAGCCAACGCTGAATTTCTCAGTATAGCTTTGTGTTCGGGCTCACCTCACTATGGACGCGAAACGTGCTTCTTGCTTTAAGCTACCATCGAGCGTAGCTCTCTCACTATTTGACGTAGGTACACGCGTTTACAATCATTACGTCTGATTCTGTCGATGCAGTTGGTCGTCCTATCTCTCGGAAGCAAATCCTTCAAACGCACCACTGCTGAATGGAGCATTTGACCCTTCTGGAAAGCTCGCCTCATTCCTTCTTCTTCATTATTTGCCTGAGTGCTTCAGAAGCTCTAGCTTTATAAGAGGTTTCTACCGTCCCAGGCCACACTGCCGGGAGCCGCGAAGGCGAACTTAAAACTTTCTGCTACTAACGTTGCTCTATCTACCGCTTCCTTCCGACTGGCCTCCTTGTTCTGTTGCACAGTACACAGAGTCTGGGCTCTGTGACACAGAGGAGATGCGGTGGAAGCATCGACTTATTTTGGATGACCCGAACTGTTACGGAGCACTGCTCCATCCGTAGCCGGCTGGTTGCAATATTTCTTCGTGTATGACACTCCGCCGTTCCTATGAACTAGGCAATCAAGTAATGGTAGTGTGCCCTTGTAAGATCCCACTTCAACACTAAACACCTCATTAATAGAGTCCAGTTGGTCCAGCAACGTCTTCGTATTCCGTGTTGTAAGTACAAAGGCATCATCTATGTAGCGCCAATAAATATTTGACCTACTAATGTAATAAATTACTTCAGCTGTATGAGCTCCGACAACTCTTCTAAGAACTGCTCATTGACTCCTAACCCCTTGTGATGTTCTCTTGCTTTAGATATGCCCCTTCCGTGGCGCGCGTGTTACAGCCCTATATTCACCCTTTATTGGTGTATGCATGAGATTCTGGACTTAACCTGACCTGACTCACCAAATGTCCTCCAGTCGACCGATCGTAAGGATGGAGACAAAAGCAGTACTGTGCATAGATAGAAACAATAGTCTTAAAATGTGCTTCAACGCGTGTGCGCGTTGGATGTTTGTACAATGCAGTTTCTTCAGATCGATAGCGATAGAATAAGGAGTCCACCCAACTGGACAAAGTTCGCAGGAATGCGCAAACAGGATGACATTCACGACAACCGCGAAGAGAACAATATTGACTGAGAAAAAATAACGTGACCGACAGTGGACCGCATCCTCATGCCGTTGCGTCGCTGGGATTCGGGGTGTATAAGGTCAAAAGAGGAAAATAAACCAACCGAGTCAAGTGGTTGTTATTAGGGTAATTTAAATGAAACGATATGTTGCACTGCCAAGTATAAGATATGATACAAACTTCGACATGATTAGGAAAGTATGGACAGGAGTCCGCGGCCATTGACTGCTCTATCTGCATGGGTGAAGTAAATAAACACGCAGCGAAGTGAATTTGATCACAGTACAAATACATCACAGTTGGTAAAAAATAAAAAGCAAATCATATTCATCATCTCCTGTGCTTTCGACTGAATGGACGATGGAGAGCAGGGTTATTCGGTGTGCACAGGAAAAGAAAGACAGGCGCATAAGGAAAGCGCGGTTTTTAAATTTAAAAACGAGCTACCGATAAGGCTGTACATATATCTCGGAGGGGTGCACATCTTTGGGGTGCTTGTGGAAGGAAGGGATTTTGAACGATGGAACGAATAGGAATTCCAATGCAAAATTACCGAGTGATCAAACATCCAAGTGATTCTTAGGTAAATCCGATGCAAAAGAGTTCAGCGGGATTGCAGAGGGGTCTTCATTGACTACACATGTGAATCGATCGTTGCTTGCCACATGCGCATACGCGTTGCCAGGCTTGTTGAAATCAACGCGGGTCGGGCAAGCGTTGGCCTCAGGAAGGTCACGTAATGCGGACGAAGGCGCCATTCGTGTAGTCAACCCGCCCATTTTTACGTGATAGGAATACTTACCCCAGGTGATAGCAGACGGATTGGTGATGGCCTTCAAAAAAATTACGTAAACAAGCATCTCGCGGAACAACCAGACCAGCAGAAATTTGGGTACGGAGAGCGGAAGAGGACCATGCTGATAAAGGAAGAACAAAATTGCCAATTTGGTTTGGATAACAAAAGCCCATTTAAACATTAGCTATATCATGGCATGAAGGCAAATGCTACTCCAAACTTAGTAGTCTAAAGTCAAGTGGGTAAATTTATCAAATTTGCTCCATTCCTTGGTCGAAATCGGGCCATTGAGTAATTAGAACGTCGCTAAATGGCCTTCGTCCGTGGATGCACAAAGGCCATGTACGAAAGCGATTCCTCAAAAAAGTAAAAATCAGCGGTTTCATAGTTCGACCCACCACATCACTCGCCAGTGACTAATCAGCGAAGTTGAGTAGACAAATGAATGTTAACAACTTCTTTGGAAAGTTCCTTTTAACGATGTATTATCGATGAAAGATGAAAGACTTTTGATGGGATGATTCTTGTACTCGGGAGAGACAATCCCAGTGATCCAACTATCTATTTCATCATACTACATCTCGACTTGGACGACCTTGGACTGCTTGATCTATCTGGCTAAACGACTAACGTGACTCCTGTATTTATGATACCTACAGAGGCCAAACTAGCCACAATGTGACAAAACAAAAACGCGGATGATATATCAGAAAACCAAATGAAGCAGACGTATACCACAAAAGGTGAATATAGAACCTACAACTGCCCAGAACATGACGGAAATCATTTCAAAACTCAAACAGTTGATCAAGTAATATTGAGCGAAGTTCAACCAATGGGCGTGAGGTCTAGGCAGCGAATCACAACAGCGGATACATGAGCGGTGGCCAGCCTTTGTCACCATTAGGAATATTATCAGCGCAGTTAAGGGTATTTGGGTCTTTCAATGGGTATTTGTCGGCTGTGTCCTCTTACTTCCCGGCATTACAACTGTTTAGCCAGTGCACACGGTGATGTCATAGGTAGGGAAGCAGAGACCTTGTAAGTGGGTTGATGCGTCCGTTGATTTCTGTGTATATCTACACACGAAATGTGTGTTATTTAAAACAAGCGCGGAAGCCAAACTGCATTGCGATGCCTGTACAGCAAATGGTCATCGTGAAGCTTGAGCATGAGCACAACGAAATGTTTACCATTTGCATACCCAAGCAGCAGAGTCAGGCAGACAAGGCCTTATCCATCGCATATAAGTTGCCTAAAGTCTAGAAACCTCTGCCCTAGCATTGTGCTTGAGAATAGAGCAGACTGGAATAAGCAGTTTGAAAAATACTCTTGAATAATTGGAAGCTGCTGTTGCAGGACAACCAGCTACTTGCTAGCCGTTTGAACTTGGATGTTGGGGTGATGGAGATAATCGACCACCCGCATTTAATGGTAGCTGCATTCGTAACATCCAGTTTGTGATCCGCGAAAGCATTTCAAAGAATCCTGGAAGCTATAACCACCTGCATTAGCCTTCAAAAGCGTTGGTGCATTAACACGGTTGTAAAGGATGTCTATACAGGACCACAATGAGCTCCATATTTTTTCACGGCACTGTGACGGCCTCTACAGTTTGCATATCTTAGGCGTCCTCGGATCCGAACATTATCCGTTTCAGTAGAAAGAGAAAATAACGCGAGCCAGACAGTGTGCTCACCAGCGCTCTCCCACCCGTTGCGTCGATTATACTTGGCTGAGTGAGTATGTGAATAACTTTGTGAGTCGCCGTACTCCTTTCAGTTGTTAATTCTGGTTTGGTGATATGCACTCCGATAATTTAGCGGGTTTGTTAAGCATTCTCTGCTTTTTACCTGTTATAGATCACTGTATCTGGTGATGTCAGCATATCTACACTGGCTTGGTGGGCAGACGAGCGTTTGCCAGCGATGGTAAGGTCATCTCGCTGGACCCACATATAAGGTTTACTCATGAGTAGGGAGATTACTACTGCAATTTTACTGAGTTAATTGCAGTAATTTACAAGTCAGATATCCTACCATCAACCCGGAAGAGCATCAGACGGCCGTTTCGGTCCATTGGGAACCCTCAGGGGGTGTTTTTAAATTGGTTAGGTCAGGCGCTCGGTGTGTTTCTTTGCCGCCCGCTGACTTCTTTCGTCGAGTTAATCGATGGTGGCGTAACGCACCAAGAAATGAAATGGTTGGATGCGGCCAAACGTATGAAGTCCGTGGACTTTTTAAAACATTGGAATACAGTTGGTATCTTCAAAATATGAAGTGTTCTTTCAAAACAGCCAACCAGCTACTAACCGTTATATCTTTGACAATGAAGAACTGAATTTAGTAGAGCTTTCCATTACTAATAGTACTGAGTTAAACAAGACGGCAGTAAAGCTCTTCGATGTGACTTGTGAACTGCAAAATCTAGAAAAGGCATTCCGAAAATGCAACTCTGCTAGGCAGAGAATAAGCTCTCCTATGTACGTAAAGGTTGTGCATATGGGACCATAATGACAGTACATACGCCTTGCACCAGTCTCATGTAGCACGTTCGGTTTGAGGCACTTAGGCACAGCCAATGTTTGCGGATCCTCACTTGCGAATATTGAGCGTAGCGATTTGATATACGTTCGAGTTCTAGGCGGCAATGGTCGCGCTTGTTCAGCAGATCAGCAACTAGAATGGAACACAGTTCGCTGTTTCGACCATGAGTTGTGTCTGCCCGCTCACTACTTACCAGATGTTACTGAAAACTAGAACGAGTAGTTGTAAACAGATAATTGAAGTAGAAACGTCAACAAATATACTAAGTTCGTATGTATGTCTACTACGCCTCTCAAGCTCGAGCCCAGGAGGGATATCTCATTCATGAGTCAATAATTTGTAAAACACAGATCCCAATCATCCCCCAGACGATGTTTAGCAACTTGTTCTAACTGGGTTGCTTGCTTAAAATTTATGTGATCCTGCTTGCTACGCGGAACAGTGAACGACGCAAGAAGCCGTTTCGTGGATGCCGTCAGCTTTAGTTAATGCATGGTGCGATGACAGTAACATTGGGTGTCTACGTATGGTATCACCTTCCTCTCCCATCTCGGTCCTCATCAATAGGGACGTTAGCATAGTTTGGCACCAGAAAATCAAGGAAATCAATCTTTGCACTGGTGCCACTGCCATATTATGGTTATTAATCATGACAATGATCGCCTTGAATACAGAGGCGCTGAGATAACAACCGCAAATTTAAACCGCTGCATTGTGTAATGTGAAACAACATCAGCTCAAAAGATCGTTGACGTAGAGACAAATATTGATTGATACAAGAGAATATCATGCACAATAATGAACATGAATGAGCGGACGAAAAGGACGCGGGTCGCAACATAGCATAATATCATAGAAAGCACGGAAATTTACGCGAGATTTGCTGTGTACTGACATGGCAACAGAGGTAAATCAATTTGGATGCGAGTAAACGGCTGATCCATGTACCAGGAGAACAGCAAGCGAGCTTACCAAAATATAACCACCTAACCCCCCACATTTTACGGTGGCTGTGTTCTTGAAATATTTACGGACGGGAAGACGACTCGTTGACGGTTCTCTGAACTTTTGATGTGATACAAAAGGAAGAATAGTAAACAGTGTCTGCTTAGGATCATAATCAAAACAACTTTTAGTTGCCTTGTTTTGGTTACCAAGTTTATTCACGGTTACCACCAAGCAGCACTGGGACGTTCGAAGTACATCCCGATGACTTCAGTCAGGAGCACAAACATCACAGTATATGAATTTTCAAGTGAGAGATCAGAAACTCAGCAAACTCGCGTATAATGGCAGCAACATTGCACGTCGTCATGGCAACCACTGCGCAGACAATGGGGGCGCGGCACAACTCAACAATCGACCGTCGTCTACCGTGTAACAAACCGGGACAAGAGCCAGGGCGTTGTCTTCCATTGCCAAATACAAGGTCCCTTGATGCTGGCGGTATTCGTTTCCGGATATGCTGCTAGACACAATGGCCTACGATGCACAACAACGTGTGCGCTCACACGCAGTAGTACCTGTGTTTTAATGTGCAACATCCCGAGTTCCTTCCAGCCGCACCACACATCGTTGGTGTGAGCATTAGGGAAAAAAAACAGGAAGCCATGTGGAGTAGAGTTAGTTTTCATGCACTCATCAACACATCCGGGTTTCATCAAAACTTTAAATGAAGTCCTTTCGCAGTTTGCACTTCAGTCAACTGGTCTCCATCAGTATGGAGACGGTGAGCGTTTGCTATGAACCCAAAATAGGGCAAGACGTTTTCAACACAGAGATGTGGCCAGCAGGTAGTCCATTAATTCAAGCCATTCGCTGGGTCCCGCAATAGGTTACGCACACTAATACTGATTATTATCAGATCTGAGAGCCAATGACCATTAGGAAACCGACTTTGGCCGACGTAACTCATTTTGTTCCAGTTGACTTTGGCACCTGGCAAACTTAGAGTACCCAAAAATGCACAGTACTTTTACAACCTGACATAGCTTCTGTACAAACAACTTATGTCAAATTAAACAGAAACTCTACGTACCCAGATGGGCGCATTTTTGACATTTTACATTATAGCAGTTGGCTGTAGTACTTTACTAGAACATTCAGGTTTACCTGCATTCATTTGTGTTACTAGTATCAACCTCTTTAACAATTTGTTTAAAAGGCAATCGACCATTTGACTCCGCAAAATAGTTAGGGAACTGCTCGGAAAAGGAGCAAATTGAAGAACCATCATCCGTCCATGCCATGCCGTTGTACATAATGAGCAGACTAATCCTTTGGACTGTGCCTCGTACCATCGAGGAATGTGTCCTAATTTCTTCATTTATTTATGTGCTAAGTAGGCAACAAAAATGCACTTGTTTCCAATGGTCAAACGAAACGAGGAGGGTGCACGATCCTCGCTCGATGAAGCAGCGATCGCACAATGCTGAACTGAGTCTTCGGGATTTGCATTGAATTGAAATGGCAAACTTTGATTTAAAAATTTCATCAAGTTTAAGTTCAGGTGGGATTGGAGCGATTAGCGAATTCCGTGGGAGTTTCTTCTGGAGTGGATCTGTGAGCCAGGAAT